TTCCGAGGCAACTACGCCATCTCCACAAGTGCAGGTATTGCTTTAGTCAGTTCAAACAAGATTTTTTTTTGTACGGCCACTTATTTGGTGACATATAAGGAATACTGAAGCTATATGTTCAATTTTGCGTTTATTTGTTTCTTGCAAGAAATGGTGGTTTTTCAATGACGTTACTTATCGTTAGCTAATATTATTTAAGCACTATTTTTATTATGGTGCTTTAGGCCAATGTTGATGTTAAAAGTGCCGATGCCCCTGCTGTGGTAGAAGCTAGTTCATCTGAATCCAAAGAAGCATTCGGGTCAAACCCCACCGTCATTGAATTAGTCGACGTAAGCTTTTTACAACCCTATCGTCGCGCTATTCTATTCAAGATTCTATTAGAATTATAGCATGAGGGCAGGTGAATGTAGATATCTATGAAATATCCGTGTCCTGCCGTTGTACGACATGAAACATTTTCTAATAGTGCGCGATTAACTATTGGCGGTTCCGACTACTCATTGCTAGCAAGAAACCGCTCAATAGAACCTTTTTCATTAGATGTCTTTTCTCAAACACCCTGAAACTGGCAAAGGGTTAGAGTCACATCAAAAACGATACAACAGTTATGATCACATAGAAAATGGCAATTTTCCATAAAATATTTGAAATTAATCATTTCTCAGAAGATACATCTTACTAGAGTGTTTGTGAGTGCTATTATTGAGCTAAATCTGTTCTAAAAATTTGACCAAAAATTGCACAAAATAGAGAAAAACTTATTAGATTATCGTAGGAGAAGTTTTATACTTGAAGAAATTCTAGTGGCACTTCTTTGGCTTTCGCAAACGATTCATTTCGAGTCTATTCGATCTTTCCCGGAAATACATAAAATTTCGTGGCGACCAAAGCAGTGTCCAGACAAGAATTCAGAGTTTTTTTTCCCAAAATAACTTCTGGACAATATTGCGGTCCTGATTTCATCATCAGGTTTAGTAGTTTTCCTGAGAAACTTTTCAACGTTTATAATTTTTCCTAATTAAGACTTATTGTATACGGTAGTCACTCTTGAAGAGGTGTCTCGGCTGTTACTTTTTTTAGCGTTAGGATTTTGTTGATTCCACAAAAGTTAGTTTTCCAAAAAAATTTTTTTGAGTGGCCACAAAGCTCCAATGTGATGACTGTCTCAAGTGATATCAATATGACCTCAACGGCTTTTTGTGAAGCTCTCAATTTATGCTAGGAAAATCGAACATTATCTTGTTATCGGCGGAGCAGGAAAGCGTCCAATTTCAAGCAATTTTGGTTTTCGTTGATTTTATGGTACCCTCGCAAATTTTGACATTTCTAGACTAAGAAAAACTGGAGAAATGCGAAGACCTTGTATTGTATTCAAGTATGGCCTACTTTAACCTATTCATCCTCGATTATATTGCCAATACCTTACCAAAGTTGGTTATTGAAAGTGAAATACTCAACTTTTTGGATCGCCTCTTTTAAAGTATCTTTAAGGAAGCATCACCGATGTGCCGTATGACACAGGTTGCTAGCAAATTGGCCTAAACACTGTTGTTTGAAGAAATTATTTAAGAAGGATGTGCAAAAACAAAATTGTCCTTTTTGGAAAAGTTTCTTGCAACATATCAGATTGGT